TTTCAATCGTCTTAAAAGTGGTTTAATCCCTTGTCTGATCGCTATAAAATTTTCACCAGTAATTTGCTATGGATTGAAATTTATGAAAATGTAGTTGTAAAAAACATCAATATTACTATGACAACAATAAACAAAAAAAAAAAACTTTGTAACTGATAAAAGCCGAATTTTGTGTGATGTAGTAGATTCCTAGAATTTACCAACTGAAGACATTTTGTATCTATTTTCGTTGTTTGAAATGTATTCCTTATCATTAAACTACTTATATGCAGTTATATTTCTTCGTGATGCAAATTAATTGTCACGGCTCTACACAATACAAATTATCCTGACATTCATTAGCACCGTTAGTAAAATGAAAACGATTAGTACCGCCGGGGGTACTCCCTATAATGGCCTATACAGGGGGAGGCTCCGCCCAAGGAGGTACCTTTTCAGGCTTTAGTAGGTAAATATATGAAAGGGCAAGGGTTTCATTAGTTTAAGTATATGAGAAACTTTGAAATCTGTCCTTTTGGTCAGTAATAGAACCAAAAAAAAAAGGACAAACATATATCTTGTGGATGTGAAAGAGACAAGAAAACTTCCTAGTTCCGTGATTGATTTGTATTCAAAAGAAGGTGCAAATACAGCAATTAACGTCTAAACTAGGTATATGAGAGGAGTACTATCTGTCAGTAGAAGGTATGCAAACGGGGTAACTGGTATATAAAAGGGTAAGGGGGGATTGGACATCGCAGCACAGCCTCGGTGTATAAAACTTCGTTGAGTGCCCTCCCCACTCAGGATAGTAAAAAATAATGCTACCCTGATATAAATGCAAGGTGTGTTTATAATCTATAGTTCATAAGATTTCTGTGTTGGTTTGAGTGTTATTCCTTCTCTGTTTTTATGCGACCTTACAAACACCTGCCACTGGCCTCAACATTGGCTGTCTTGGGTGAATTTTATAAGGTGGTTGTTTAGTTACACGTCTGTTGTAAACTTATCCGTCTTAGTAATGGATCGTTTTATTGCCATCGTCCATCCTCTAAAATACATTACTTTTATGACTCGCCGTCACATCATCCAAGTTATTTTCTTCTCTTGGGCTGCAACAGCTGGTTTTGAGGTTCTTCAGTTTTCACTTCGTGCTAGCCGGTTTAAAAACGAGACTTGTTGATGCTATTTTTTTGCTGGCTGGGTGTAATTTTTCTCGAGTTTCTCCCATCTACACTGATGGTATTCAGTTTTGTTTCAATGATAGTTCGTGTACGCAAGCATTAGGGGTCAGCACGCACTTTATCGAAACAGCTACGATATAATCATCGCTGCGTGTCTCTTAAAACCTATCACGGCGAGAAGTCTGCTGTAATAATGATGGGTATTGTGATAGGAGTGTTTGTTATTACCTACGGAATGTAATTGCATTTTAGTTTTCTAATACTATTCGACAGTACTGGAATGGCATCATGCAACGATGTGAAATACAAAATTCCTATCTTGGTTTCAAATTCGTCAATTAACCCCTGGCTTATGCTTTTTTTTTCAAAAGAGATGTAAAGAAAGAGTTTAGAAGACTTATCTCTATAAATGTGTTTTTTTTTAAAGAAAGGCAACCAAGTTAAGCCTTCCACGTTCGTGCTTGACACGAGGAGGCATCTTAGCAGCTCGCTCGCTTAAAGTACTTACAGTTGAAATGTACAGTCAAAAAATCTCGATTTGCTGCATGCTCAGAGCTTAGAGCGGCATGCTTAGAGCTGGCAAATCCATGGCTCTTTTTGGACTCCAACTGAATAATTATTGAAATTTGCTGGAAATATTGGTATTTGAGGAAGGAGCAAGACCGATATGACCCTGAGAATACTCTTCTTAGAGAAAGCTCGAAAGGACACAAAATATACATAACGTGTAAGCGACGATTAGTTTGAGATTCAATCCCAGTGTTCTTCCTATTAAGTGGTATAGTAGGATACGAACGTTTTACGGCAGAAAACGAACAAACAAACAAATAAACAAAATGGCAAAAGACAAGGAGAATCGCGAAATATGTCATAATATGTCTGGGAACTTAGTTTAACACCCTTTCTAGTTTTCGCTATTAGCTTTTGAGGACATTAATACTTATTGGGAAACCGTGCAATAAAAGTTCATCATGTTTTCAGTTAGAAAGATTACTTCTTTTGTCTTGTGTTCACAATGGGTGTTTAAAATTTCGTTTTTGTTTTGAAGACAAAATGGATCGTGGTGAGCGATGTAAAACATGGTTTTTGTCCCCCCGTCATTGACGTTCACACGCCTTAATCAGCATTGAGAAATTCATAGAATGGATTACAGTGGAACCTCCATAACACGAAGGGCCAAGGGACCGGCAAAATGTGTTCGTTATAACGACGTTTCGTTATATCGAGGGTAATCCACTGTACTAGCTAGATGATCGAAAAGGCGATGAAAGATAACTAAATGAAAATAGTTATGTACAAAATAAATCATTTTCTATTTCTGAAAGGATCTTATGAGATTAACTGGTATGAAGAAAGAAGGAAAAACACACTTAAAAAAAAAAAAAACACTAAATAAATCCTTTCACATTCGCAACCTAAAGAAGTGATCTTTTTCCCCTATTGTACAAATCCATATATTGGAACGTGACGCAACATTGCCCATGGTCAAATTTCTAGCAGGGCCACCTGTGATTCAACTAAAAAATAAATAATGAGTGCCTTTCGGGAGCCTTTGAAATATTATGATTGTTAATTATGACAGTTGTTCTTAAAATGACATTTGCGCTGTTCATTGGTCAAGAGGTAAAGAGAACTAGCATAAAATCGTTATGAATTAAGTCTTATCGAAGTAAAATGATTTTTTTCAAGGGGAAAAAATAATGCATGTTTCATAATAGTTTTGGCAAAATTTGTCAACTTCTAATTTCCAATGCTAAATAAAAACTAAACGAACGAAAATAGTTTCTTTTCTTAGTCTGTATAAATCGTGACACAAAATTGACTGTTGGCTGGTTGCTCAAGAGGCAGTCCAACACCAAACAGGGGAAGAGTTTGTCCACCGCTGAAACGCTATGATATTCAGTAAGTTTTTCGAAAAAATTAAGCGACAAGAAATGGAAGTACAACAGAAAAATTTTACCTTGAGATAAAAATATATTGATAATTTTGCAGAACAGTTGTTTGAGCAGTCATATCGAAACTTCTAGGTTTCTTACGCCATTTAGTATATTTTAAGAATTGTAAATTTAACACGTGTTCTACCATAGCTAATAATTCACAAAGGTGCACTGAACCAGACAATTACGTCGAGATAGCCTGCGTTGCAGCAACGTTGCAGCCGGCCCACGCATTATCTTTCTTCGACGCGGGCAATCGTCGAGATGGCATTTTAATAGTTGACATAAAATCGTTAGAAAGTCTGAAATATAAAATAACTAGCAGGCTTTAATTTACCAAGGAGAAAGAAAAAATGCATTTTTTTTATTACAGGTACGTGTATGTATATGTATGTGTATTTTTTCTCTAGATTCTTTAAAATTGGTGACAAAAGAACTCAGTGGGCAACCTAACCCCCCCGAGGGAGGGGGGTGGGGGGGTACTGGCAGATGGGATACATAATATGCCTCTTTATAGGGTATGGTGTTCAAGCAGCTAAGTCTGTGACTGGATATAGAGAGAGCAACTCTTGGATAGGGAGGAATTTGGGAAGTTTAGTATAGAATAGGAACATTCAGCTGAACCAGAAGTATAGGCTAGGTGTTCCAGTGTCCCAGCGGCACATTATCACCCGAAAATTTCTAAAGACCCCCCGCCCCCGGCGGCAACCCTAAAAGAGTAGACGAGATGTCCACTGCTGGAACGGTACATTAAAAAAAGCTACATAACAAAATCTTCGAAATTAAGCGATTAGAAAAAGACCACTTTATATATCTTTACAAACGTATTAGATTCCAAGAATTTATTAAAACATTTTCTACTTATTTTATTATCAAACACACAAAGAAACGTTACGTATTTAATATATTATCGTCCTGATGCAAATTTTTGTTATAGCACAGCGCAAGACAAATTATTACGACATTAATTAGCAAATTACTACAAATAAAGACTATTAAAGAACAAATAGAGTGTTTTCACTCACGTGGCCAGCACCTATGCAAATTTATTGGAACAAAAGAGAGCGTTTACAGAGGCGAAGAGCTCAGTCAACTCCCACAGGATTGGTTGGCACGCCAACATGGTCGCCGTTTCATTGTTTTGGAACACCAATATCGCCGCGGTGACGTCATGTAAAAACGCCCCATAGTAACCAGTTGTCATGTGTCCCTGATATTTATGCAAGATGTTGGTTGTATTGTACAGTTGATAAGAACTCCCTTTAACTGTTAAGATGGAGACCTGGTTTTGGATTCTTGGCTGGGTTCTTTCATTCCTGACCATCCTTGGAAATGGATTTACAATCTTTCTCGTATGCAGCAGACGAAATCTCCGCACCAAAACCAACGCGTTTATAGTTTCACTTGCAGTAGCGGATTTCTGTGTTGGTTTGAGCGTTATTCCTTCTCTGTTCGCATGCGACGTTACAAACACCTGCCACTGGCCTCAACATTTGCGATCTTGGGTGACTTATATAAGGTTGTTGTTTAGTAACACGTCTGTTGTAAACTTATGCGGCTTAGTACTGGATCGTTTTATTGCCATCGTCCATCCTCTAAAATACATTACTTTGATGACTCGCCGTCGAATTACCCAAGCTATTTTCCTCTCTTGGGTTCTAACAGTTAGTTATAATGTGCTAAAAAATACCCTTTGTATTGTTTTATATCAAAACCATACCTGTCCTTTTGCAATTTGGGTGATGACCATAGTTTTTGAGATTCTTCCATGTGTTATACTGATACTCTGCTTTGTATCAGTGATATTTCACGTACGCAGACATGATCGGTCAACACGCACCCTAGCAAAACAGTTACGTTTTAACCATCAGGTGTCTTTTAAAACTCATCACGAGAAGTCTGCAGTAATAATGATGGGTCTTGTGATAGGAGTGTTTCTTGTTTGCTATGGGATGTATCTGCGTTGTAGTTTTCTAATACTATCCCAGACTAGCACTACGATAACCTCATCGCCATGCCATGATCAAGACTACAAAATTCCTCTCTTGGTTTTAAACTCGGCCATTAACCCGCTGGCTTATGCCTTTTTAAAAAGAGACATAAAGAAAGAGTTTAGAAGACTTATCGGTCAGGTGGTTTTTAAGAAAAGTAACCAAGGAGAGCCTTCCACTGATCGTTAGATCATTTTTGAAGGACAGAAATCTTATTATTAGTTGGCAGAGCTGCCTTTGATAGCGGATTGTGTCAGGCATCGCGGGCGGCAGTTTTGGAGCCCGCAAATCCCTGGAGGTTTGTCTCAAATCATAGTTTGGAAACACTGGTGTTTAAGGAGGGTACAAGAACCAAAGTACGATAAGAATACAATCCAGTATAAGTCAGGTGCTTTCTTGAAACGATTCCGAGGTATATATATAAAAAAGACTTGTTGCCGCTGTATTTTAAAGAAAATACATCAATTTTAACTAAACCCTACCACAGGACGCGTGACTCAATTTTGGAGGATGTAGGACTTAAAAGACGCTGAAAGGCTTGAGAAGAGACTGCCAGATGGATCTGTGACTCTTGACTGAAAGCAAATTGGAATTTGGAAAAAAAAAAAAATAAACAGGCGTACGAGGAGAGAAAACAAGAACCTTTGGACCCTAAGAGAATGTAAAATATCAGGGAAAGGATTTAGGATTAAGTTCACACAGTGGTGGGAGGCGAAAGTTCTTATCAGATGGAACCTTTAATATCACATCGTGAGAGTATATTTTTATGTTCACATCCTGCAAGCAGACATTTGGTTTCACTTTCTCCATTTTGGCGCACTGTTAAAAAAGAGCATGTGAATTAAGTAGTAGTTTATTTATCTTCCAGATGCAAATTATTCCGATCAATTTAGCTTAGCCTGAATAAATTGTTTAAGAACGTTAATGCGATCCGCATCGACCATACAGGTCTGAGTACTTTTATTTCTCAAGGCCATCGTTTTCTTTAGCAAACAAGTTTCCAAGCTGTTTCTTTGCTTTGAGTTTAACTTTTTGTAGCATCTCATATATATGTATTTTTTTCGACAGTCATGCAATTTTACCTACTCGCTTTTGATTGGATAGCGAAAACGAAAAAAAATAAATTGCTGCCTACCTTTTGCCGTAATTTGTAACACCTGTCGCAGTTTCTAATAAAGAACTGTCGCAAATAAGAATACAATGATCTCGCAATTATTTAGTGAACCAAGTTAACAATAAATTGCAGTAAAGGGATAACTCACGTGCCTGACTTTGTCCTGTTTGACTGACAGATGTTTTAGCGCTATTGCCACGTGACGGTCCACATTTGCTCTAGCTCTTGCTAACTTAGGAATACGTCAATTTGATAAATGTGACCCTGCTTTTTACCCAAAAGCGTTATTGCGGGCGACAAGAGGAGCCCGCAATCCCAATCTCCAGGTTGTTATTACGCATGCGTCGCATGTATATGTAGCCAGCATTAGTTTGGACTTCCACTAACAATGAAGGGAATGCACAGAACGCAATTTGATCACGCGCGTCTCTACCTTCTGCCCCTCGTAATCTCAGTGATCACGCCTGTTTTGACCATATGCTACGTGAAACTTACGCAAAGCACGGCGATGGAGCAAAAGCGTCTTGACCTTCGATCGTGTCGCCCGCACTCCCTAACCTTTGGTTTTACTAGTTATTAGTTTTTTCCCATGCGTCGCATGCATGTAGCCAGCATTCGTTTCGACTTCCACAAAGAATGAATGGAATATACAGAAGGCAATTTGATCACGCGTGTTTGGACCTTCTGTCACTCGTAATCTGATCACGCGTGTTTTGACTATCTCTCATGTGAAACGTACGCAAAGCGTACTTAGGCACAGTGATGGAGCAAAACCGTTTTAATCTTCGAACGTTGCCGCCCGCACTCAGTAACCTTTAGTTATTACTAGTTTATAATCTATAGTTGATAAGAACTTCCTTTAACTGTTACTGCGGATGGAGACCTTGTTTAATTTGGATTCTCGGCCGGTTTCTTTCATTACTGACCATCACTGGAGATAAATTGACAATCTTCCGCGGCTCATTTGTAGCAGACGAAATCTCCTCACCAAAACCAACGCGATTATTGTTTCTCTCGCCGTGGCAGATCTCTGTGTTGTAGTTGAGCGTAACTCCTTCTCTATTTTTCAGCGACATTAGGGCAAAAACGCCTATTACTGGCTTCAGCATTTGCTATCTTGGGTGACTTTTATAAGGTGGCTGTTTAGTAACACTTCCGTTGGAAACTTACACAGTTTAGAACTAGATCGTTTGATTGCTATCGTCTATCCTCTAAAGTGCATTGTTTTAATTTATGACTCGTCAACGAATTATCCGTTAGCTATTTTCTTCTTTTGGACTATAACATTTGGTTTTGTGGTTTTTCGATTTTCTTTTCGTTTTAGTTTAAAAACGATTCCTGTCACTGCTCCTTTTAACTTTCTGTATGTAATTTCACTCGAGATCCTCCCATGTGCTCTGATTATAGCCAGTTTTGTATCAATGATTTTTCATGTAGGCAAGCATGATCGGTCAGCACGCACCTAATAGCAAAACAGTTACGTTTTAACCACCGGACCATCGGGCGCTCTTCACGAGCGGTTTGCAGTAATAATGATGGGTCTTGTGATAAGGGTGTTTCTTGTTTGCTATGAAATGTACCTACGTTGTAGTTTTCTATAATGAAAACTATAGAATTCCTGTTTTGGTTTTAAACTCGGCCATTTACCCGCTGGCTTATGCCTTTTTCAAAAGAGGCAGTCATAAGGAAAACGTTTTTTTAAAGAAAGCTAACCAAGGGAAGCCCTCGCACGTATGTGTTTGACTCATTTTCTACACTGTAGGTCTTAACAATAATTGAAGTAGAATAAAGAGAGTGACAAGCTTAGAACTGGCCAATATGTGGCTCTTTTTTTGCACTCCCGCTGAATTGAAATTTGGAAACATAGTATTTAAGAAAGAAGTAAGACACATAGGACATAGAATATCTGGTGGACTAAACATCAGGTAGGTTGTTTTTGGCCAATTCTTTATTTTCTGTGCGAGACATCAACTTGACACTTGGATTCTTGCCCCCGAAGACATGTGGTATGGCGTGATTCTGTCCATCCTATAAAATAAATTACTTTTATGACTCGCCGTCACATCATCCAAGTTATTTTCTTCTCTTGGACTGCAACAGCTAGCTGGTTTTGAGGTGCTTCAGTTTTCAGTTCGTGTTAGTTTAAAAACAAGACTTGTTGATGCTAGTTTTTGCTGGCTGGATGTAATTTTTCTCCAGTTTCTCCCATCTACGCTGATGGTATTCAGTTTTGTTTCAATGATAGTTCGTGTACGCAAGCATTATGGGTCAGCACGCACTTTATCGAAACTGCTACGATATAATCATCGCTGTGTGTCTCTTAAAACCTAATACGGCGTAATGCCTGCTGTAATAATGATAGGTATTGTGATAGGAGTTTTTGAAAGAAAGATAACTAAATGAAAATAGTTAGTACAAAATAAATCATTTTCTATTCCTGAAAGGATCTTACGAGATTAACTGGTATAAAGAAAGAAGGAGAAACACACGTCCACTTGAGTGAGGTTAGCCGATTTAAAAACTACATGTAGATCCTTTCACATTCGCTACCTGAAAGAAGTGATCTTTTTCCCCCTATTAGACAAATCCCTATTGGAACTATTACACAACATTGCCCATGGTCAAATTTCGAGCACGGCCACCTGTGATTCAACTTAAAAATAATGAGTGCCTTTCGGGAGCCTTTGAAATATTATGATTGTTATGACCGTTGTCATTAATATGACAGTTGGGCTGTTCATTGGTCAAGAGATAAAGAGGACCAGCATAAAATCGTTATGAATTAAGTTTGATTGAAGTAAAACGATGTTTTTCAAGGGGGAAAAATAATGCTTGTTTCATTATAGTTTTAGGCAAAATTTGTCAACTTCTAATTTCCAATAAAAACTAAACAAAGGAAAAGAGTTTTTTTTCTTAGTAGGTATAAATCGTGACACAAAATTGACCGTTGGCTGGTTGCTTACTAGGCAGTACAACACCAAACAGGGGAAGAGTTTTCCACCGCTGGAACGCTATGATATTCAATACGATTTTCGAAAAATTAAGCGACAAGAAATGGAAGTACAACAGAAAAGTTTACCTTGAAATAAAAATATATTGATAATTTTGCAGAACAGTTGTTCGAGGTCATATCGAAACTTCTAGGTTTCTTATGCCATTCAGTATATTTTAAGAATTGTAAATTTAACACGTGTTCTACCATGGCCAATAATTAAAATAGGTGCAACCAGATAATTACGTCGAGATAGTCTGCGTTGCAACCGGCCCACGCATTAGGGACCTTAAGATCCGAGGACGGCGACGGCAGAGAAAAAGTCGATGAAAAAGTGAATTCGCGTTCTTTCAATCTTCATCTCGAGTACTCCAAGTCACTAACTTTGTCAAATGTATGCAAACCCTCCTAAAGTTGAATTCCTAAGAACCATATTCAAGTTCAGAAAGAGAGAGGAAATTTCATCGTCGCTTGTGTACTTCGTCAGTACGACCCTCTGTACATCGTGAAATTAGGCATTTTCACGTCGTAGTCGTGCATTGACCTCAAAGAAATATACAAAAAAGCGTGATGCACGTGCAAAATTGTTGTTTTGCTAATTAAGCCTATTGCTTTTGTGACGTTCCCGCCTAGTTCATTTTGTACGAGATAAATCTCAGGGTGCGTTCTTTTTAGAATCACAATCGGATTTTTGATCTCAGACCATATGGATTCTCCTGCTTAACCAAAAAGGGGTAATCTGAAAAATGAACATTTGCTATGACAACTGCACATCCTCTTGCTCCTCGTGATGAAAAAAAATAAAAAACAACAGCAAACTGATCCTCAGGGCGAAGAGAAATGGGAAAAGCAACATCGTATTAATCAATGTATGAAGACGTTTTTTTTCCAAGAGGGAACGGTGACGATTTACACAACTATCAATTTATTTATGAATTAATCTGAAACTTCTCGTACGGTAAATCGTTCTAAGATTTGTAGCTTTTTTTTTTTTCAGAATTTAATTTTACTACTTTAGCATGAGGTGTCATGATAATTTTAACTGATGTTTGAAAATCCGCTTTTATTAAAAAGTTTATTATTATTGATATTAGTTTTTCTCGCTGGAAGGAGGGTATAAACCATTTGTTTGTAAGATTATCTGTAAAATATCCAAATTCTTTCCTTTCTGATTGGTCCAAAAACAAAACGTTTGACATAGTCCTGTCCTGATCGGCCAATGGTTTCATCTGGTCAATTTGTCAATAACTTGGTAGAAATTGTTTTTCATTGTTTTATTATCATTTTGCCATAAAATTAATTAAAAAGAAAAGAGGGAAGGGAGCCCAAGGAAGCCAATAAGACTTAGCTTGTGAATAGGAACAACTTTAAAAGTATGTTATCTAATTAATAAATAAAATACTGACATCGGCAAGTGATTGAGTGTTTTAAATAAAACGTAAACGATACCAGTATTGAGCGAACGCCCTCCTGTTCACTTGATAACAGTTCCCTTTCTTTTCTTATAATGCTCCAGTTGGTACTTTACTACAGCACAGAAATACACTCGCGATGTTTTGAGAAAAATGCCATCAAACCATAGCCGTAGTTTTGCGTTCCCCGGGTGAGAAATACTATTATGTAAAATAAGATTTAGTTGATCAGGACGTGCAGACCGCATTATATGGTATTGCAATACTCACGCTGACGTCACCTCTTAATAGGGAGCTTTAGCATCGACCACGGCGACGGCAGCGAAAACGCCACTTTTAAAATGAATTCACTTTTTTTAAAAACTCTGTCGAGTTTATTTCAGTTCCCTGAAAATGTTAAATGAAGGCGAATTTCCCTGGAGTTAATTTCTTGGACACCGCACTCAAGTTTAGAAAGAGAAAGAAATGTCGTCGCTTGTTTACGTACTCCATTAAACGTGAAATTAGGCATTTTCACGTCGTAGTCGTGAAGTGACAGCAAAGAAATGTACGAAAAAGCGTGATGTACGTGCAAAGTCGTTGTTTTGCTCAATAAACTTATTATTTTTTTGACGTTCCCTTTGCCTTTGTCGTTACTAAAGGTCCCTAATATTAATGTGCCTAATGTTAATGTGCCTAATATTAATGTGCCTAATATTAATGTGCCTTATATTAATGTGCCTAATATTAATGTGCCGACCAGAAGCGCATTGGTTCTTACACTAAAAATTCGTTTGTTTCACTCGTTACAAATTTGACTAACAATTAAAGGATGTTTGTAAACAGTGACGTCTCTTATAGCTTAATCGTGGGTTTATTGCTTGTACTTACAAATGAAAGTTACTGAATTAGTTATTAGATTCCACTTAGCAGCCAGCCCGAGTACACACTGCTGGCAGCGTCTTGTTTACTTCTTTCCTTTATTTTGTTATTGCTGTGGAAAACGATAGAACAAGTAATCGAGATAAAATGAATCGTATCCTGAGTGATGTGAAATTAAATAAATTTGTTATTAAAGCTCAAAGATAAAATATTCTTAAATTAAATCTACAAAAAACTGAGAAGGCCATGGGATGGGTTAAATGGCAGCTGGAAATTGGTTAAAATTTTAACGTGACTGACAGCTGAGAAATAATAACAAGTATTGAATGTGGCTGAATAGATCTGTATAATACTTCAGATCATACAAAAGCCGAATTCAATAATTGCTTTTATCATTCCTTTCAAAATATTCATATCTAAACTACTTAGTATGCTTACCTCAAACGATGCCTTCAAGTTTTGACTGTTCTGGCTGCAAATACAGGGGCGATTTAAGGGATGTGTAATCCATCAAAAATTGGCAAAAAGTTGTTGTCATCTGTGGTGTGTTATAGTCGTGGGTAGTAATTTTTTAAATTTGTTTAATTGTGTAAATTATCTAACTGATGTGCAAACAGTTATCCTCTTTATTGGCCAAGAGGTGGGAACAACCAACATAAAATCGTCAGAAAGTCTGAAATATAAAATAACTAGCAGGCTTTAATTTCAAGGAGAAAGGAAAAATGTATTTTTTTTACAGCTACATGTATGTATATGTATGTATATTTTTTCTGTAGATTCATTAAAATTTGTGATAAAAGAATTCAGTGGGCAACCTACCCCCGAAGGGGGTACAGCCAGATGGGATATATAATGTGCCGCTTTATAGGGTATGGTGTCCAAGCAGCTAAGTCTGGGACTGGGTATAGAAATCAGAGAGAAATTCTTGGATAGGGAGGAATTTGGGAAGTTTAGTTTAGTATAGAGTAGCAAAATTCAGCTGAACCAGAAGTATAGGCTAGGTGTTCCAGTGTTGCAGCGACACATTACC